TTACATACTCGGTAAGCCGTCAGCACTGTTATGTCACACCTATATGTTAGTGTCCACATCATCATTCTCTTCAAAATTATCTATTTGATATTAATATATAATAGGTTGTTGGTAGTGATATTGTTGTTGTTGTTATTGTTGTTGTCATTGTGGTGATTGATGATGCAATTTTGGTGAATTGTGATTGGTTGAAGTATAGTGTAGATCTTTTGATAGAAATAAACTGATTTTAGTTTTTTGTTGTGAAAAGAAAAAAGAACCAAAGTGTTTCTGTATATATGAGCAAAAAAGATGTCAAACCAAAAGCCTTTCTTTATGCAACCTTCATCCACAAGGTGCCTAGTCTTGAGGAATTCGACCAAGAGCCCCATCCTTATGCAGCTTAAGTCTTTACAACCAAATTCTTGAAGTTGGTTCATATTTAACAGGTCTTTAATGTATGTAAAGTTTGTTGTGTCGGTTTTGGCAGAGATAACTCTTTGTCTTGAAGAAGAAGAAATGATCTTTCCTCCAATATGCCCAGAACTTGACCTTTCTGCCTATAACACCTGGGACTACTCAATCTAAACCTCTTAAGCTATAGCAGAAAGGAGACAACCAGATATTTTCTTTAAAAAAGAATTTTTATTCTCAATAATAATAAAGAAAGGGAAAAGGTTTCTTTGGAGAAAAAAAAATAACTTGACAAGAACCCATACTTGTCTTGTTAAAAATTTCCTAAAAAGGAAGGTTTTTCAAATATTTAAGGAGAACGGGAAAGAGTTTTTAAATAAATAAATAAAATAAATTATAATTCTTTAATATTAATATAATATATTTATTAATAAAAATAATATAAATTAAATAAAATTTATCTTTTTTTTTTATTTTTCCAAATATTAAATACTGATTGAAAGTTAAAATTTTTTAATTTTGGTTCTTCTATTGAAATATGAATAAACATATTTAAATGTTATTATTAATAAAATTACGTAATTTAGTTTTGATTTGATTTTGCTTTGAAAATTTGCTTTCACAATTAACTGTTGAAAATGGAATACTATAAATAATTTTAATTAATTATAACAAATTTGAAAAATTATTTGAAAAATTTTGAATTAAAGAAGGAAATATAGTTTCTATAAGTTGTGATTAATAATTAATAATTATAATTTTTTTAAAAATCAATCATTCACTATAATAAATTTCTATATTAAAAGATGTTTTGTTAAAATAATTTGCAAGAATTAAAATTTCTTTTTTTTCAAAATTTTCAAATTCTTCTGATTTAATTAATGGTTATTCTTTTGAATTAAAAATTTTCATTGGTGTAAAAAGTGGATCAATAATAAATCTTTGTTAAATTTCTTTAACTAAAGTTATTGTATAATTATAAATATCCATAAGTAAATTATTATAATCAGATGATAAATAATTAAGCTTATGTGAATGATAATAAATTATTTGATTAGTAAAAAAATTGGTTTTGTTAATAAAATTTTGTAAATTTTTATCAAGAAATTGTGAATTATTTAAATTAAAATAAGTAATTGAAATTGTTTTAATAATATTTTGAATTATTAAATTAATTTCATAAAATTGAAGATTTTGTTTTTGAAAATATGTGTTTGAATAAGATAAAAATTCAGAAATATCATAAAAAAAAAGTAAAAAGATTAATGTATACCAATTACATAATTTTTGATATAGGTTTTAAGCAACAATAGAATTATTATTAGAAAGTATTTCAAGAAGTGCAGATAAAGTAGTACAAAATTTTTTTAATGTTTGAAACCAACTTAACCAATGAATTTTATAAAATTTTTTTAATTTAAGTTAAGGAATTTCAAATAATTCTTGATATTGTTGAAAATTTATAATTCTTGAACTTGAATTTTTAAAAAAATTATGTATCTTGCATAATATTTTTGGCTTGTTCATAAAATGTCATTTGTTTTTGAATATTTTTATAAGCCAATGTTAATTTATGAGCCACACAATAATTAATAATAAAATAAGAATATTTTTGACTTAATTTTATTACAACACCTTCATGTTTTTCAAGCAAACTGAAGCACCATCTGAAGTAAATACATGTAATTTATGTAAAAGATCTATTGATTTTTAAAATATATAAAATATATAATTAGTTATTTAAATATTTTTAAAAATAATATTAAAAATAAATACCTTTTTGATTAAAAAGATAAATTATTTCATTTGTGATAGCTATAACATCACTTTTAATTAATGAAATAAGTTTTAGAAATCAGGTTTTAATATAACCTTCTGAAGTAATATAACAAACATAAACAATTAAATGTTTATCTATTGTTTTCATCTATCATTATTCCAAATACTGAAGTAAGATTAATTTCATTCCATATTTGATTTTTTAAAGTTTGAGATATTGCTGTTAGAAATTCATATCCAGTAATAGGATTTTGATAACTTGTGGAATTATCAGTTAAATTGTATAAATTTAAATGTTGAATGAGTTGCATAAGTGAAGAAAAATCATTTAAAGATAAATTATTTTTTGCCAAATAATAAATAATTTTAAGATTTTTTATAATATAATCAGATGAGATATTTAAAATATGTTTTTCAATAGATATTTTATTAGATGGATTTATTATATCTATATGATCTTTGAAAGTTTCATGTTTAGTTAAAACAGAATAATGTGTAATGTTTTTTGAATCAATTGTTATAAATTTGGATTTCTTATTATGAGAAATACAATATTTACAAAATAAGGTCATATTTTCATGATTATAAATTAATCATGAAAACTTGTTTGACCATTTAAAAATAATTTTTAGTGCAGAATTGTCAATTGTAATAAGTTGAAAGGAAAACAAAATTTAGTTAATATGTTATGTAGGTATTATAATTATTAAAATTCAATCATGTATGTTATGTAGGCATTATAATTATTAAAATTTAGTTATATATGCTATGTAGGTGTCATAATTATTAAAATTTAGTTATATATGCTATGTAGGCATTATAATTATTAAAATTTAATCATGTACGCTATGTAGGCGTCATAATTATTAAGATTTAGTTATATATGCTATGTGGGCATTTGTAGGCGTTATAATTATTAAAATTAAGTCATATATGCTATGTAGGCATTTGTAGGCATTATAATTATTAAATTTTAGAACGGTAATACTGTATACGTATGTATATCACTATAATCAATTTCCGCCAATTATTTTTAGTTATAATTCTAAATTTATTTTAGTAACTAACCAAATTAATCGATTTTTCACATCCATTTTACAGTAGAATTTATGCCCTGTCGCCAATACCAACCAAAGGTACCAAAGGTCATAATATAATACATGATTACTTCATGCCTGTTAATCCCAAGTGAGCCCTGCATAACTACAATTTCAAAATAGATAAATTAATTAGAATAAAGCTTGATCTGTTATTATTACTTCAACAATTATTATTATGTGATTAATAAGTGGCGTTAAAAGCTTATGCGATATCTCCCCTTTATGCACGTTTACGTAACGTTAACGATCCCACACTTGATCCTTCTTGCATTTCATGCCATTACTGTTCCGTTCCGTGCCGTGTGAAACGGCATAATACTTTTAAAAAAAGAGAGAATGTAATTCAGATGGTTGTGAATGAAAAAATCAAGCGTGCTGTAGGATTTGACGAAGGCAATTTATTTAATAAAATTTTTCAAGATCATACGATTAAAGCAAAACATTTTTTATTTCATGATTTAATTAACTAAAAGTAAGTCATTTGACATAAATTCTTTTAAAAAATTTTGACAAATATAAAATTCATTAATTAAAAAATACAATTTTTAATGCATTTTGAGAATCGAACATGTTTAAAAGTACTGTACATAAGGTTATATTCTATTATTATTATTATTATTATTATTATATTTTATTACGCTGATTTGTCAAGACATAATAGTTTAATAATCATATTATGCGATAATATAACAAGAGTATATAGCGATTTACTTATTACTGTGCATGAAAATGAGCAAAAGAATGATCGTTAATTGGTTGACAAAAATTGCCAATTTAGATTATCCGAAAAGCAATATTCAGAATTGCGAGAAATGTAATGTGAATATAAAGCTTTGCCTAAAGGAGAACAAGACTACTCTGTCTTAAGTATTACGATTTTTGGTTTTATTTGAACCAGGAGCCACCTTACGACGTTACTTTATAGTATACTCCACATGTCCTAACTTTAATCAAGGGGTAACCTCAAGCTTGTTCAAAGTGTGCTAATTTTTTTTATCTTTCTTATAAAACTACAACACGTCCCTTTATCGTGGCAAGAAATAGTCACCACGCATTAATCAGGTTGCCAAAATTAGTAATTTAACAGCAACCTGTTACGTATTTTCTATCTCTTGAAAATGTAATGATCACATCCAACCCCAATACTCGCCAAATCCGACGCTTCTTTCCGTTATTCAGAACATGAGAAATGATCGCCCCGACCGTCACACTTCAAGAATTGATTGGCATCCAAGTTTCCAATCTGTCCCGCAACAATATGATCGCTTCTGGTACTACTCTTTATCAGTATTATTTTTGATAATGCAATACAGCATATTACAATACGTATTACAAATATGTATTACAGATATTACTTATAATTTGAAAGAATATTGACGCCAGATCTATAAATATTATCGCAATTCTAAATTAATTAGATTATGAATTCAATTATTCAATTCTTAACTTTTTAATGACTTGCTATTGTGTGTATAGCGCTTAGTTGCACAGAAATCATTTACGGAAAGGATTATCAATGGGACTTGTACTTAGAAAGTAAATAAAAAAGAACATTTTTCATCACTTTCCGGCATTGATCGGTGATTAATCCACTATGTAATCTTATACAGAAAAAATGTATGTTTGTCCCCTGCCTATTTCTAAATTACGTACTTGGATTTTTCAATTTGTATCTCAAATTACTACTTTAAAAACACATACACTATAATATTCTGTTTATTATTGTAAATGAATCCGTCTCCGTCAAGTGTCAACATAAAGGTTAATATGGGAAATGTACTCAATAAAAAGAAGAAAATGAAAGATACAACATCAACCGAACAAACATCATTGACATCTAATTTCCGGTACATTAATGGGAGGAGATTCCACAATAATGAGAGTTCAAAATATTTTTTTCCTAACGACGATGAAGAACTGGACCGATTGCATTTGCAACATTTCTTAATTAGACATGTTTTTCTGAGCAATTTTTTTGCCCCGGTTGAACATATTTTAAACGCGGACGGTTCAAGAGTGCTTGACGTAGGGTAATATGACATCACAATTGCTTATGGCAAAGTGCCTTTTTTTTTTTTTTGGAAATACTGCGTCCGCGAAAGATGACACTTCTTATTTTAAAAAGTTGTGGTGCAGGTTCTTGGATGTTGGAGATGGCATCAAATTACCCAAAGACAGAATTCATGGGAGTAGACATATCTCCGGTTCAACCTTGTTGTATTAGACCTAAAAATGTCACATTTATTTGTGCAGATCTTTTGTCTGGGTTGCCATTTGAAAATGCTACATTTGACTACGTGCATCAGCGTTATCTATCTGTCGGAATTCCCTCAAACCGTTGGCCTGATGTTATCAGAGAATTAACAAGAGTTTTAAAGCCCGGTGGTTACTTAGAGGTATTGATTATACTCATATTAGAGACGGTCATGGTTAACTGTGTTTTTTAACATTATTTTTTCCAAGTTAGTAGAATTTAGCCCGCTTTACAGATTAGGCCCTGTTTCATCAAAAGTTTTTAAAGCCGGTAAGCAACACAATCCCTAGTACTAACTGCCTTAATTAAAATAGCAAGGCTGATATTAATGTGTTATATCATGATATTTATAGGAGACAAATTTCTTTCAAAGCAAAACTTTGATTTCAAGATACTTTATAAATTACGGTCGTTCGTCGAACAAGATGATCAACTCGGGGATGTTAGTGAAGAAAAAAAAGTATTATCTTATGGTGTTGAGGCTGGAAAACTTGGTCAAGCGGTAAATCAATCGGTTTTCGGCGAATTCTAACTTTCTAACACCTACTGCATTTATTAATTCGCACAATTTTACAGGCTGTTGATAATGCCAAGTTCGGATTGAACAGCATGAAATCCCTTTTCTTGACAATTTTGGAAACGACCTCCGAGGAATTTGACAAAACGATAGGTATAATAGCCAGAGAGTTAAGAGAACACGACAGTTATCAACATTTAATTCGCGTTTACGCATGTAAAAAAGAAAATCTTTAATCTGTTGTATTGTACAGTACATTCACAATCATAAATTTCAAGTCGTATCAATTCCTTATTGACATACGAATACCACCAGGCAAAAAAACACCTGGAATTTTGTTTGTATCAATAATTGTGTAATTTAACTCGTGTAAAAATAGCAAAAGTATTTCAATCCATAAAATTTTTGCACTTTATATAAAATTAATTTCAAAAAGAAGTTGTCATGTGGTTAAACATTCCCACAGCATACTTTATTGAAACCAACTATTGGCAACGATCATTTTATAGAGGAGCCGAGATATCGAAGTGAAGGTCCAAGAACCGAACCAAAAATTCTGAGGTTTATTTTATTAATTAATACTGTATGATTTCAATTTTAGTCACGTGATAGACAAAGCGACGACGCGCTATAGTCACGTGAAGAATCGCCACGAGAGACTCGTTCCGATCGTTGGTATTCTAAGAGTTGTGATAGAAAAGTATGTAAGCAAGGAATTGTAATAATAGGCTTGTGATAGAAATGGGTGTAAGCATATTTTCATTAATATTTGTGCCAAAGGAAGTGTGATTAAACTAGAAACGCCAATGTAATTGTAATAAAAATACTGTAGGAGGAAATTGTGAAAAGACATAGGTAATCAACTTCGCCATACTTATAGTTGTAAACTCTCCTAACTCATGTAAAGAAAAAATATATAAAAACTAATGAGTTGATAAAACAATAAATTATTTTACTCGGAAAAATCGAACACGCCTTAAAAGACCATAAAAACCCTTACCTCATAGATGGTTACGCGGAACTCTGCCCACTTTAATAACAAACTCGCCGATCGACCATCACAATAATACAACAGCGTAAAATAAAGAGTGAATTATGTGATGAACACATGCTTTTCTCCTAATATCCAGTATTAGCATTTATTCTTTGTCCTTTCGTTTCTAATCTTATGCATTCTAAAAAAAAAGATCCTTCATATATTGTAAATGTATAAAGTTCTAGTAAAAATCAAAATGAGTTGGATAGTATTTTGCGATATAATAAGCTTGTTCAAGCAGGTCAAATAATGGTAATAATGGTTAAGCAGGGAGAGAAGAAGTATGAAAATCATTATGTTATATCATATAAAGTTCTGTTGTTTTTCATTATCCATCTTTTTACACTTTTGGGTTCTATGGCTTTCTTTCTTAATGAAAGGTGTATGAAAATGATCTAATAAATAAAATAAAGAAAAAGGAATAAAACCGACTCATCCTAATTTTTAATAATAAACTTGGTGGACGGTTACGAAAAATCTGTTCTATTTAACAACAAACCGCGCAGATTGCCGGTCACAATCCACTGACACGAATAAAATGGTCTTTCGCTTGTTTAATGTAGGATTTTACTCGCTTTACCTTCATTTATAATCAGTTAAGACTACAGTTATGTGATAGATGACATGAAATTTGCTGACAAAAATTCTTAATTAATAATGCAAAAATAAATGCAAAGTTCGGGCGTAGTCCATTATATAAATACCAACAAATTTCTATACTAATGAGACGTATCTATCCATAAATTCTAATATTGTTTTTTCCGCAAGATTGATTGACTTAACCCTTTCATTTTCTTCAATTTCACCTTATCGTTTATATCCTCATATTTGTACATAACAAATCCAGAGGTTAGAATAAAGTAGAATAACGGATACGGTAAACATGTAAACAATAGGCGCATGTATACTGTAAATACTGTGACGGTCAATCTGCGAGTCTGTCGCTAAATTGGGCAGAACGTCGCGTAACCGTCGATGAGGTAAGGAGTCTTGGCGAAAATTTGAGGCGTGTACGATTTGGTCGAGTAAAAGATAATTCAATCAATTCGTGTTCTTTATTTACTTTTTACTTCTCTCTTTTTATACATCTTAGTTGGGACGGTTTTTACATTTTTTTGAAAAATAAGGTAACATCGATTATCTAATGTCTTCTCACGATTCTCCCTAATTACATAATGTTCAATTACAATTATTTCATATTATCTAATCGTTTTCACAATCCTCTTTTCATTACCTAATTCTTTAACACACTATTCTACTACTACTTTAACCATTTTCCATCACTTTTGCTTACATTTCCCTCCATACTACCTTGAGTACTATGATCGGAACGGGTCCTTCGCAGCACTATTACAACGATTAGTCACGTGACTGGCAGCGCGTTACGATTTTTACCCTCTGACAATACATGCGCCGTTCGATAGCATGTAAAGAAGTGAAGAGTTTAGTTTTGAATACACTAGAATCTAACAATAAAGTAAAGTTGTAAATAAACTCTTACCTTGTTTTCTTGTGCGCCCGAAATACTTGTAACTCGTGCTACGCGACTAAGCGAGATGACCAAAGTTTACCTAAGGGAATTGGCATAGGAAGGGTTCTAGAGTAGTCGATAGAGAGGTTAAAGTAAGAACGGCCAAATAGAAGACACGCCTCAAGGGTGAAAGGAGAAACTTACCTTATTGTTAACCGAACGAAGCAAGCATCGTGGGTTAGCGACCGACTCGCCGATTAGCCCACGACAATATACAGTACACGTGAAGTATTATTTTTCCGCATCTGTTACAATCCCTCACATATTATTTCATCTTCTACGATTTTATCTGTTTTACATTTATGACCTGTTAATAATTCCATTTGTACGAGATTCAATCCTGTAGTCAGGAATTCAAATGCTGCAAAATAAGAAATAATTTAAAGTAATGATAAGTAGTAATTATGTCTAAGGATGTGTCAGGGAGACAGCATAGAACTTAGTATGTTTTAAAATAATACATTATACCGTATGTATTCTTTTTTTAAAAAAAAAACCATGTCTTTACCGTATTCGATTCGAATAAAAAAAAAAATTTTTTTTCGAAAAATATTATATGGTCGATGTTTTCAAATATTTTCAAGTTGTGTTTTAACAATCGTAAAAAGAATGAATCAATTCAACTAAAAATCTTCATCATTTCAATCCATTACATTTCGATAAATCAATTAAGCCCATGGTTTGATGGTATTCTCTAAAAACAAAAAAAAAAGAATAAATTATCAAGAAAACATTTTTGAATAAAGATTGTCAAAAATGTAATATACAAAAATATTTGATAATTAACATGAGATACAACTAATCATCCATCTATTTTATTGTTGATTTAATGACTAAACTACCTAATAGTTATGTTTTCATTATATAGCATATCATCTTCTTCTTATTCGCCTTTTATAAAAATTATATTTGCCTTTAATAAAAACATATCTTCATATCTTTTTTTGATTCGTGCACAGTAGATGCGATTTTCTATTTTAATAAAAGGTATAGAATGATGATTAGTCATTATAATTACATGCGATTTAATTTAATAGCAAAAATCTCATTCGGCATTCTCATCGCTTTCAAAGACAATTATCGAATCTAGCCTTCAATTTTGACCTACCTGCACAAGAATGCCTTTAATTTAATTTGCATGAACAAACGTTTTTGATGTAGCCAACTGTGACACGCACAGTATTTTGTATTGATCATTTAGTACATATGGTATGAAAATAAAATCCTTGGGTTCTGTTTTTGTAATAATGTAAAGCAACTTTCACGTACACAAACAAATTATTTTTATCTTGCCTATGTTCATAAAAGGATATCAAGTAATTTCTTTTTTGCGCGCATAAACACGAATGATTTGATGATATGTATCAAATTCTCTTAATTCTTTGGCCACTATGTCTAACATTTCATCAAACTCCTCAGAAGTTACTCCCAGAGCTGGCAAAACAATTTGCCTTGCATTAATTAATCCAAACTTAGCATTATCTATAGCCTGTCAATAAATGTAACGTGTTTATTGTAGCGTAGGAAGAAATCATTTGAAGAAATATCGAATAGGAATTTCATTACCGCTTGACCTAATTTGCCCATTTTCTCACCATAGGATAGTGTATTTTTCTCTTCACATATATCTTCAAACTGACCAGTTTGTTCAACGAACAACCGTAACTTGTAGAGCACTTTGTGATCAATATTTTGTTTTGCAACAAAATCATTGACTACACGCTTGTTATTAGTCACCGGTGTTACATAAATAACCAATTGTGGTTAAAGATTCCGTTACCTACCAGCATTAAAAACTTTGCATGTGACAGGGCCCGTTCTACATGGTGGACCGAGTTCTGATAACTTGAGTTAAGATAAGTATGATTAATTTTAACGTCGGGAAACTTTATTGAATGATGATATACTGTAATTGGTACCTCTAGATAACCGCCAGGCTTTAAAACTCTAGTCAACTCTTTGACGGTGTTCAGCCAGGAATCTAGGGGAATCGCGGTAAACATCAAACGTTGAAACACGTAGTCAAAGGTTTCATCTTCAAATGTCAACCCAGTTAAAAGATTCGCAAGTACGAATGTGACATTGTTAGGTTTAATACAGCGAGGCTGAACGGGAGAAATGTCTATTCCCGTTATTTCGGTCCTTGGATAATTTGTAGCCATCTCAAGCATCCAGGAACCAGCACCACAACTTCGTTAAATAAGAATTAATAATCATTTTCACAAACACGGGCCTCTTCTAGAAATACGTAGTTTGAAGGTTATTTGTGATACAACTCACCCAACATCAAGCACTTTTGAACCATCACTATTTAAAATTTTTTCAATAGGAGCCGAAAAATTACTCTGAAAAACATGTCTGATAATGAAATGTTGTAAATGCAGTCGGTCTAACTCATCATCATCGTTTGGAAGAAAGTATTTTAAACCATCAACACTGTGGAATCGCCTCCCATTTAAATGCCGAAAGTGTGATATTAAGGTCGTTGGTTCTGTCAATTCTACGTCTTTCTTTTCTTTTTTTTTACTGGACATATTCCCCATATTATTTGTTATGATTTAATTTTTTGACAAATAAATGTCATAATTCTAAAATCAAAGTACAGTATTTATAGTATTTGCACGTTAATGCGTACAGTCTGCAAATCACGTGTTCAATTTAGATAATTATCCGAGTATATTAAATCGGATGACCATGCACTATGTAAATTATGAGTTTCAAGCATCCCTTTTTTATTCCCGTCCGGATCGCAGACCCTATATTTATGAGTGATATCGACGGAAATTGTGCAATCGTGTGCATGTAAACAAATCGTAACTTTCTATTTCTTTATGCTTTGCACATAAAACATGTAGCGCAATTTTCTTAAAATTTTACTTGGCAGAATATTTAATGGATTTCATTATTCTTCTCAATTAATTAAAGCATACTTCTTTCAGTAAACTTACATTGATGTAAACAGATCTTTCCGATAGTATGCATTGGATTACTGTTAACTGTTACAACTCAATATTCCCTGAGCAATGAAGCATGCTGTTGCGGAAGATCAAGAAAATCGAAAAAACCCAAACCCATCGGCACGTGATTATATTTACAACCTTGAATAATATAATCTTTCTAATTTAACCCTTACAAGTAAAAATAAACCTTGACTCGTATAAGTAAAATACTCTGGCGGCATTATGTAATGTGCAAGCCAAATTTACAAAAAAAAAGAACATGTTGACTTGCCTGTTTTTTTATTGGTGTATATAGTAATGACGGCGAATACGGATTTTGCCAAGGCAGACATATTAAAGCTTGTACCGTTTGTTTCTCATTTTATGCTGTACTTTGAAAACAAATGGTTACACTAAGTTGCATTACTATATTTTTGTAGCTTGGCAGGACCTTCAATTTATCCTGTATTCGACTTGGCATTTTTACACGTATTTTAACAATACAAAAGAAAACATTAAACTAATACAAAAATATAAAATTTTTTATTTTTGACAATTAGATATTATAATTAAAATTAAATTGACTAAACGATAAATTATAATAATATTTTTTGAAAATACAATAAAATGAGATGAAATTTAATCACAGTGATTTGTTTATTTTGAAAATCAATCACGTGTCATGTATAAATATTTTTATTGTATAATGTGTGAATATAACCTTTATTTGGGTTAAATTAAGCAAATACGTACTGTATAAAGTATTTGTACAGTACCATAAGCTTGGCTATACGTACATGCGTACGCATTCATCACATTCGTGAAATACGGAATTCATGCGTGATATTCATTGCATGAATATACAATGAATAAATGATCAATCTTCCGTTTCTTCTTGCATTAACTCGGATTATGTGATAATAACTTTTCATTGAAAACTCATTCTTTGACCATCGTGTCTGACATCCTACCATATTCCTCAGAAGTTATCGTTAAAATCGGTAACAGACAGAGAAACCTGAAATTACTGCAAAGTATATTATTATCAAAATATTTTTTAGTTTTTTTTCTTCGCCAATATTTCAAGTTTTGTTTCTCTTCTAGTACTTTGTAATCAAGGTAATTTATTGCAAGTATATCAACACCACGACGCGAAAAAGTTGTTAATATTAGCGTAAATGTTTTTAATGTTTCAATAACTTAAAAGGCGAATGAATGGCAGAGATTAACCCGTATCATAAAATAAAAATTTCAAATAGTCAGTACCTCCAGTAACCATCAGACTTTTAAAACTCTAGCTAATTCTCCAACATCAAATCACTTATCTCGGAAAATCGAGTCGAGCATTAAACATTGTAATTTTCGAAATATAAACGTTGCAAATGCAATCTGTATAATTCCTAATAATCGTTTGAAGTGTTATATTTTAAGCCTTCAACATTATGGTCTCCTCCTGTCTACATGCCGATGGTGTTATATGACATCATTTTTATCCCCCCTGTTTTTATAAATGGGTTATATAAAATTGACTGCGATATACTGTACCGTGTAACCTGAAACCGTAACCAATAATTTACGTTTTTAGATATATAACCGTCAAGAATAAAAACTTTATTTTTAATTAATGGTACATTTTACCCTGGTTTAAAAAAAAAGTTCATATTTGGGATATTCTTGATTATTTGTTGTTCAAAAAACCCCTCACTTTCCTGTTGTGCTGCACTCAGACCAAAATAAAATAAAAAAAAAATGCAGTGTAGTAACGCGAGACATAACCCGTGAGACAATATATTTTCCGCCTGTGCATGAGTATTTTATTGGTACGTACTGTATATACTGTATATATATAATAAATATTGGACACATTTAAGGACCAACCGTTACGCCGCATACATTTTTGTTAAATAGATGATGATATGCTAGATAATGTAATTGAGTATTTATTTTAACGTAAAACTACGTGTACTTTGCTCCAGTTCAATTATTTAGTCGTATGACTTACAATCTTTTGGCAATGAGTCAATATAGGATATGTAAGGAGTAGGGCACACATTTCGCGCATATGTTGACAAAACCAAAGAGGGCTAGCCAGCACAGTTTCAGGGTTATTGTGAAATGGTTTCTGGTAGCATTGTTGTTAATGCAAATCTTGAATAGATGTACAAAGGGTTCAATAATAAAAAACAACAACCATAAATTACAGTAATTAAAAGTTATTTACCAACAAAGAGAACTAAATGATATATTGCTCATTTATTAAATAAAATTAGGATTTTATTATAATCAGCAGTTTTTTTTTATAAATTATTTGTACATTTTTAATAAAAATTCTAAGTTTTGTATAATCTCTATTGTTGAAAGTGTAGTCCACAAGTCTGTTACTACAGTATATCATAATTGTTGATCATATAATATCAAATAAAAGCATGTGAATGTAGTACAAGGTAAATTAAAAAGGTCATTATTTTCTGTCTTCTCTCAATACATTTCTCTCTCTCTTTTATATACTGTATATAAGAAAAATTCCAAAATTTTCAAAATTTTAAAAATCCTAAAAATTTCTTAAGCTTCAATTATATCCTAATTGAATAAGGACATTATATGCCTCCACTATATAAAAATCATATTTAAATTAAAGTAAGTAATATGATAAATTTGTATAATTCCATATTTACATAATATGATATAAATACAAGTTAATGTAATATAATAATATTTTTTAAAAAAAAAAACAACATTATAAATAGTAGATATATATTAATCATTAAATATATTGTTATGTATATTGTAATATTTATGGTTATTAATATATGCTTTGAATTTATTTTTTTTTATTTTTTTTTTAAATCGCAAATAGATATTAAATATAAGATATTTATTAAACATTGGTTTATTATCATTACATTAACAATCTTTAAGACACATAGAACTTAAGTTAATTATAACCTATTGCTACTTTACAATTAGTATGTATTGGCACCAAGTAGATATTTATATACTAAAAGTGTTTAATGACTAATACTTATTCAAAATTATGATATTATAACTAATATAAAGATTTTTTTGTCAGTAATATTCTTTGAATTTTTTAAAGTATTAAAAACTTTTTAAAAAGTGTTGATATTTAGACAATTAATATCAGAGTTTGTTGCAGAGACAGTTTTTTTCCATATAATACCTGATGTTGTTAAGATGATGGCAATTGCTAAGTATTGCTTCCAAATTTTGTGCAGAATTTTGAGCGAATAGTTTAAAAAAATTTTTTTTTTCCAAATAATATTGAAGTGAGTATTGAACTTGCCTAAGACTATATTAAGCAATATTTTGCCCATTAAGTTAATTGTTTAAAGAAGATAAATATGTTTTGAATTTATTTTTATATAGCTATAAGAGGGTATAAAAAGTATTGGGTACTTTTATAACATGTCATACAAAATAACTAACTTATAAACTTTTTTTTTTCTATTAAAATACAGATCAATACTTTGTTTGACAACCATTTGCAGCAAGAACAGCTTGAATCTGATGTGGCATGGATTTAATCAAATTACGATAATAATCTATAGGTACCACATCCCATTCCTCCTTAATCCACTGTTCCAATTGCATAATATTTGAGGGCTGCAAATCACATTAATAAATTTTAATCTCAATATGCAATCAAATATTTTCAATTAGGTTAATATCAAGGCTTTGAGCTGGCCAAGAAAGTAACTCAATATTTTTAGAAGTGAGAAAAGAATGTGTGACTTTTGCAATGTGGACTGGTGCATTGTCTTCCATAAAAAAAATCTTTTTTTTTACTTTTTTTATGCAAGATTTAACTATAGGAATTGCGTAATTAGCCAAAATTTCATGGTGCGTAGCTCCAGTAACATGGCCAACCAAGGAAACTAGGGGACCCATACCAATTTACGAGAAATACCCCAGAACATGCATCCAAAGCTTTTTCTTACTATAGCTGCAATGCAGTCTTTATAAAATTTTTCAGAGAGTTCGTGCCACACACAACCAAAATCCGAAGTTCTAAACTGTATGTAAGTAGACTCATCTGACCAAAGAATTTTTTTAAAATCCTCTATTGTCTAATTTTCGTAAGTTTGAATCCATCGCAATCATTCTGCTTTATTTTTTTCAGAGATTAACGGTTTGAAATAAGGAATTCGCAAATGAAGCTCTTCTTTAGCTAATTTGTTTCGAATAGTTTGTTTAGAAATAGTTTT